TTGTTTTCATACTCAAGACTAGAGCTACAGTTACAAGGTCACTTGAGCATTAACGTAAGTATTTCCTGGTAAGAACGTTCAAGTCAGTTTTGTTTCCAGACATAAGGTGGCAGCACAGGACATCTAAAGCCTGCTGGCGCCATCTCTGATGGAGCCAAACAGCTCGGATCCGGGTATGACACAAGCTGCTCTCCCTAAAGTTGAGAAATGATCAGAAATCTCTAAAGCCTGCACAAAAGAACTCTGAGCGTAACTCTTTCTTTCACCTTTCTTTCTTTACCATTTGGCTGTGTGTGCCTGAGAGTACAGAAGTTAGAAATCGTGGCCAAGACCTTTAATCACAAGTATCTTCAGAACAAAATGCTACTGCTGCACATTTCCTTCAACTTTGTCCTGTTTCCAACTCTAGTTCCCTGATTAATTAGGAAGAAACGTTCTAGACAGTATTCTAAGAACCACTGTTGACATTTTGTTCTAGGAAATTTGTAATAAGATTTCCTCATCGAGTCTGGCCCTTCATTTCCTTCTGTTCCAGTGTTCTTTCAGGTATTCCAACGACAAACAGAGTCAAAACCATTAAAAATGGTAAAACTGAATGCATTCACTCCGTAGCTTAATGACACTTCTTTGGCTAAGAAGTCAAAGCTCAGGCTTTACTAAGGTGTGTTTACAGTACTTTGAGGGTTCCCCAAGGCTGCTGTGACTAGAATTCCTGTAAATGCAGGCAAACCTGGAAGCACAGTTCCAGTTCATGCACTCAGCTTACAGAATGTTACGTGTTGGAATGCACCAGAAAGTTCAGTGACTTGCTCCATAGCTGGGCACATTCAGGTCGATAACCTGAGAGCCACACACACCTGTGCAGTCAAATGAGTGCAGCAATTTGGATAAACACATTTTACATATTCATTATGTAACATGATTTCAAGAGCTTCTAAAGCCACCCCCAACTAACCTTGTCAGATTGGAGAACAGCCACTGGCAGATAAAAAGTAATGCTCAGTCTGCTTAAAAGTTTTAACTGCGTCTTAGCAAAAGGCTGAAGGCATTCACTGCCTTTTACCCATCAAATCAAACTTCTGTCTCAAATCAAACTTCCAACTCTGATGTTCACAAGTCTATCTATTTGTGATCAACAGTTTTATTGCTAGAGGAGAAGGCCACTGTCACAGCACTTGGGATAGCAGAAGCCAGGTCATATTCCTCAGGTCAACCTAACAGAGGACACTGGAGACCAGAACTTTCAAGTATCAACATTTATTGGTGGCATCATTGTGTAACATCACTGGCGTTTGGAGATACAAAAAAGTAGTAGGAAAAGCCCACAAAAAAAAAGATGAGCCTATATGCTTATTAAAAAAAAAGTTCAAGAAGAATACTTTAATGATGCTTTTGAAATATACACGTTAGAAATACTCCTTCGTAACCATCCATCATTTTCATTATGACTGTGCCAAACAATGATCACAAACTGAACCCTGCAAAGTGCCAGAGAATATGTATAAGCATCAGCCTCAGCTATTTGGAAGAGAGAGTTTCATTCATCAAGACCATAAATCATTAAAGTCTATCAGTCAAGGCTGATTTTTAAAAACAAAGTCACTTTGATTGTAGCAAAAAACACTTAACTATTATAAAAGTTCTTGTTCTTTAGCTACAGCTCATATTTCATCCTAGAGTCTCAGTGCACTTTAAAGCATGTAATCTCTTTTCTAGGTCTAACTAGTATTTGTTAGGGCTACATTAGGATGATGTACACGGGTAAAAACATGGGAGTGTTTAGCTCAAAAATCCCACAGCCAAGCCCTCTTCATAAATACATTAACTACACACATAACTCTGGGGGATTCCTGAGTCTACTGGGCTAAAAACAGAAAAAATTTTGAAATAAACAGCCACTTAGACCAAAAAAATCAAGAAATACCCTAGACCTAGTGAAGAGTTTGATTTGGAGAAGTTCAGCCCTAGTTAACAGTTTGGTTTAGAAGGGGTCAAAGACACTCTTAATGAGCCAGCCTTCACCCACTGCATCCAGCTTTAGTCCAACCTGACAGTGGTGAACCTGTGCTTGGGGGCAGCCCTTCAAGGCCATGTGCTGCAGCTCAGACAACCTTCACTCCCCCCGATACTAGTTCAGAGTCTACAAAGTTATGTTTTCTAGGGTCACCTGAGGTCTTGCTCAGATGCACAAAATCACCCCTGTGGTCTGGACCTGCACCAGTGGGAGCCCCGGAGGAAAGGAGGACCCTCGGTCACGTATCTCTTCACTACAGTCTCTGCCTGCAGAGAAGTCTCTCCACTCCTCGTTAAGTCTCGTCTCTTCAGTCAAGGCCAGTGACCTACTTGGTCAGAGAAATTCTCAGTCTCAACAGAAATATCTCTAACAGCTGCATCTCACCAGTTTTTATAGAGAGCCTCCAGTGACATTTCCAGAAAACGACAGGACACAACGCAACGGGACACCCACAGGAGACACTGGGCTCTTAAGCATGCCTTAAGTGATTTTTGGCTCCTTATTTCTAAAGGGAAAGGAAACCTAATAATCATTTTTATCCGGTGCATGTAAAGCACAGAGCAGCCGCCTGGGCTCGGACCGTCCAGGCGAAGAGTCGCTCGTGGAAGGGCCCCGCAGAGGAGAAGCCGGGGTGGGGAAGGTCCTGGTGGACACGGTCCCCGGGCTCTG